GGTGCTCAAGGCAATCCAGTGACTAGAATTGGTAACAATCTAGATTTCAGCTCTTTGAGCTTGGGGCTGGGCCTGTTTATCGCTTGCCTGTGGAGCACAGAGGCTTGGTACATAGTAGGCACACAATACACTGATTCGATGAGTGAACAAACGGATGACTGTATGAATGAGCATGTGGACTTGGCTTAGATTAGTCCCCAGTAAGGATCACGGACAAGGGAAACTACTACTTGTTCAGGCCCTTGGAGCAGGGTTGCCAAATAACACACAGGACTATGCACTATCTGGTTCTTACACACACTAAAAACTACTCATTGTTCATCTCGAGCTCAAATTTACCTGCACATCATATATGTTTATTTACTAAACGAGGCAACCCTATCATGGGGAAGTCATTGATAACATAAAATCTGAATGCAAGCTTCCCTGTTTCTCAGTTTCACTTTTCCACCATCCCACTTCATACAGTTGTTCAGGCACGCCACCAGAGAATAGCTGTTCCCCACAGTGTACATGGCACTGTCCCCACGCACACACGCTGCAGACTTGCATGCTGTTTAACTGTACCACAGCAGTGCCCAGACGGTATGCTTTTGGATGCCCTTTAAAGGGCGGAATAGGATTCTGTGCAGGCATAAAGAGGTCACAAGTTTCCAGGTAGGCTGACCAAGCACTTATGGTGAGAGTGATAGTCCAAGCTATTTTTAAGTTTTCTAAAAATTATTTTTAAAATTTACCTACAGTAAAATTGCCCTTTTTTGCACATAGTTCTCTGACTTTAACATATATACAGATTCATTTAACCACCACCACAGTCAGGATACACAGCTCCATCACCCCAGAAAACTCACTGGTGCTGCTCCTTTGTAGTCAGACCTTCCTCCCACCCCTAATCCCTGGCAACTGCTGATCTGTTTTTTGTCCCTTAGATATTCTAGAATGTCATATAAATGGAATCATTCATTATGTATCCTTTTGAGATTGACTTCTTTACTCAGCAAAATACTTCTGAGATTCATCCAACTTGTATGTATCAATAGTTTTGTCCTCTTTATGCTGAGTAGTATTCCATTTACGGATGTACCACAATTTCTTAATCCAACCATCCATTGATTCTTTCGGGTTCTTTTCAGTTTTGGCAATTATGGATAAGGCAGCTACAAACACACAGAAACAGGTTATTGTGTGAAGATACATTTCCCCCCTAGGGTAAATACTTAGTTTAGGGAATGCTGGGTCATATAAGTGTATGGTTAGTTTAATAAGAAATCGCCAAACTTTTTCAGAGTGACTCTACCATTCTGCATTCCCACCAGCAATGTATGAGCATTCCAGATGCTCTACTTCCTCACCAACACTTGAATTTTAGACATCGGTGTGTAGTGGTATCTCATGGTGATTTTAATTTGCAATTCCCTAATGGCTAATGACGTTGAGCAACTTTTCATGGGTGTATTTGCCATTCATATATCTTATATGGTGAAATGTCCCTTCAAATCTTTTGGTCTTCTTTTTAATTGTGTTATCTATTTTCTTACTGTTGAGCTTAAGAGTTCTTTATATATTCTGGATACAAGTCCTTTGTTAGATATGCCATTTGCAAATATTTTCTTTCAGTCTGCAGCATATCTTTTCATTGACTTAACAGTTCTCTTCCCCCCTCCCCACCCAGGGTAAGAATTTTAATTTTGATGAAGTCTAGTTTATCAATATTTTTTCTTATGGATTGTGCTTTTGCCTAACTCAAGGTCATGAAGATTTTCTCCTAAAAGTTTTATAGTTTTACATTTTACATTCAGATCTGTGATCCATTTTTAAGTTAATTTTGTATAAGGTTTTTTGGTTAAGGTTCAATATTTTGCATATAGATAACCAATTGTTCCAACACTATTTGTTAAAATGATCATCATTTTTCCATTGAGTTGCCTTCAAACTTTTTTTAAAACAATCCATTGGTCATATTGGCCATATTTGGTAGCTCTGTTCTGGACTCTATATTCTGCTCCACTGATTTCTGTGTCTATCCCTCATTAGTGTCTCACTTTCATAATTATTTAGTTAAATTTTAAAATTAGGCAGCATGAATTCTCCAACTTTATTCTTCTTTTTCAGAACTGTTTTGGATTTCTACTTCCTTTTCCTTTAAATATAAAATTTAGAATCTATTTGTTCATGTATACAAATAATCCTGCTGGGATTTTGATTAGAATTGCATTGGTCTTTAGATCAACTTGGGGGAGAATTGACATTTTAACTACATTAAGTCTTCCAACTCATTAACATGATATATTTCTCCATTTATCTGGCTCTTCTTTGCTTTCTTTCATCAGTGTTTTGTAATTTCATCCGGAAATCCTGTACAGTTTTTGTTAAACTTATCCATAAATCTGTCATTTTTTGAAGCATTATTATTTTTTAAATTTTCATTTCCAATTGTTCATTGCTAGTATATAGAAATGTAATGGAGTTTTGTGTGTTGACCTTGCATCCTGCGACCTTGCTAAACTTGCTTTTCAGTTCCAAGAGTGTTTTTGTAAATCTGGTGGGATTCTCTATGTAATAATTAGGTTATATGTGAATAGGGGAAGTTTTATTTCATTTTTTTTCTATCGGTATGCCTTTTTTTTTTTCTTTTCTTGCTTTACTGCACTGGCTAGAATTTCCAATACAATATTAAAAAGGAGTCTTGAGAGTTTACCTCCTTGTCTTGTTCCTGCACTTAGGGGGCAAGCATCCAGTCTTTCACTATTAAGTATGATATTAACTGTACATTTTTTGGTAAATGCCTTTTATCAGGTTAAGGAAGTGCCCCTCTATTACTGTTTATTGGGAAATTTTATCATGAATTAAAAAAATAAAATAAAACCCGTTGCCATCAAGTTGATTCTGACTCATAGCGACCCTACAGGATGGAGCAGAACTGCCCCCATATGATTTCTAAGGTGGATTCGAACTGCCAACCTTGAACGGCTGTTGAATTTTGTAAAATGTTTTTTCTGCATTAATTGATATAATTATGTATTTTCTTTCTTTTTAGTCTCTTAATATGCTGTATTTGGTTGACTGATTTCCAAATATTGAAGAAACTCTGCCTTCTCAGGATAAATCCACTTGCTTGTCATGCTGTTGTTGTTAGGTGCCATCGAGTTGATTCCGACGCACAGTGACCCTGTGCGCAACAGAACAAAACACTGCTCAGTCCTGCGCCATCCTCACAATCATTGTTATGCTTGAGCCCACTGTTGCAGCCACTGTGTCAATCCATCTCATTTTTTCGTTGACCCTCCACTCTACCAAGCATGATGTCCTTCTCTAGGGACTGGTCCCTCCTGATAACATGTCCAAAATACATGAGATGAAGTCTCGCTATCCTTGCTTCTAAGGAGCATTCTGGCTGTACTTCCTCTAAGACAGATTTGCTTGTCGTTCTGGCTGTCTCTGGTATATTCAATATTCTCTTCCAACGCCATAATTCAAAGGTATCATTTTTTCTTTGGTCTTCCTTATTCATTGTCCAACTTTCACATGCATATGAGGCAATTGACAACACCATGGCTTGGGTCAGGCACACCTTAGTCCTTAAAGTGACATTTTTGCTTTACAACACTTTGAAGAGTTTTTCTGCAGCAGATTTGTCCAGTGCAATGCATTGTTTGATTTCTTGACTGCTGCTTCCATGGGCACTGACTGTGGATCCGAGTAAAATGAAATCCTTGACAACTTCAATATTTTCTCTATTTATCATAATGTTGCTTATTGGTCCAGTCATGAGGATTCTTGTTTTCTTTATGTTGAGGCATAATCCATACTGAAGCCTGTGGTCTTCGATCTTTATCAGTTAAGTGTTTTAAGTCCTCTTCGCTTTCAGCAAGCAAGATTGTGTCATCTGCATATCACAGGTTGTCAATGAGTCTTCATCTAATCCTGATGTCACATTCTTCTTCATACAGTCCAGCTTCTGGGATTATTTGCTCAGCGTACGGACTGAATAAGTATGATGAAAGGATACAACCCTGACGCACACCTTTCTTGACTTTAAACCACAAAGAGTCCCCTTGTTCTGTTAGAACAACTGCCTCTTGGTCTAAGTATAGGTTCCTCATGAGCACAATTAAGTGTTCTGGAACTTCCATTCTTTGCAATGTTATCCATAGTTTGTTATGATACACACAGTCAAATGCCTTTGCATAGTCAATAAAACACAGGTAAACATCTTTCCGGTATTCTCTGCTTTCAGCCAGGATCCATTTTACATCAGCTATGATATCCCTGGTTCCACATCCTCTTCTGAATCTGGCTTGAATTTCTGTCGATATACTGCTGCAGCCGCTTTTGAATGATCTTCAGCAAAATTTTACTTGTTTGTGATATTAATGATACTGTTCGATAATTTCTGCATTCGGTTGGATCACTTTTCTTGAGAACAGGCATAAATATGAATCCCTTCCAGTCAGTTGGCCAGGTAGCTGTCTTCCACATTTCTTGGCATAGATGAGTGAGCACTTCCAGCTCTACATCCGTTTGTTGGAATATCTCAGTTGATATTCCGTCAATTCCTGGAGCCTTGTTTTTCACCAATGCCTTCAGTGCAGCTTGGACCTCTTCCTTCAGTACCATCGGTTCCTGATCTTATGCTACCTCCTGAAATGGCTGACTGTCAACCAATTTTTTTTTTTTTGGTATAGTGATTGTGTATTCCTTCTATCTTCTTTGGATGCTTCCTGTGTCATTTAATATTTTCCCCATAGAATCCTTCACTATTGCAACTTGAGGCTTGAATTATTTCTTGAGTTCTTTCAGCTTGAAAATGCTAAGCATATTCTTCCCTTTTGGTTTTCCATCTCCAGGTCTTTGCACATTTCATTATAATACTTTACTTTGTCTTCTGGAGCCACCCTTTGAAATCTTCTGTTCAGCTCTTTTACTTCATTATTGCTTCCTTTCTCTTTAGCTACTCTATGTTCAAGAGCAAGTTTCAGAGTGTCTTCTGACATCCATTTTAGTCTTGTCTTTCTTTCCCATTTCTTAATGACCTTTTGCTTTCTTCGTGGATGATGTCCTTGATGTCATTCCACAATTCATCTGGTCTTCAGTCATTAGTGTTTAATATAATATATGCTTGTCATATATTATACATATTGTTGGATTCAATTTGCTAATATTTTATTGGGGATTTTCGTGTCTACTTCATGAAGGATATTGCTCTGTAGTTTTCTTTCTTTGTATTGTCTTTGTCTGGTTTTAGTATCAGTGCAATGCTGGCCTTAGAAATTAAGTTGGGAATTGCTTCCTCTTCTATTTTCTGGAAGAGATTGTGTAGAATTTGTATTACTTCTTCTTTAAATGTTTGGTAGAATTTACCAATGAAACTATCTGGCCCTGGTGTTTTCTTTTTTATAAGGTTTTCCACTATGAATTCAATGTATTTAATAGAGATATATGTCTATTGAGGTTTTCTAGTTTTTCCTGGGTGGGATTTGGTAGCTTGTGGTCAATTCTGTCTAAGTTTGTGCCTAGAGTTGTTTGTAGTATTCCCTTACTGTCCCTTTAATATCTGTGGTTTCTTATCCGATATTCATATATCTGTTTCATTTCTGATATTCACAATTTGTATCTTTTTCTTTTTTCATTGTCACTCTGGCTAGAGATTTATCAACTTTATTAATTTCTACAAAAAATCAGCTTTTAGTTTTATTGATTTTCTCTATTTTCTTTCTGCTTTCAATTTTATTGACTTGTGTTCTTATGTTTATTATTTCGTCCCTGGTGGTGCAGTGGTTTACAGCTTGGCTGCTAACCAAAAGGTTGGCAGTTTGAATACACCAGCTGCTCCTTGGAAGCCCTATGGGGCAGTTCTACTCTGTCCCATAGGGTCACTATGAGTCAGAATTGACTTGATGGTAACAAGTTATTTTTTTTAAAACTAGTTTCTTAAAATGGAAATTTAGATTATTCATTTGAGACCTTTATTTCTTTCTAATACGAGCATTAAAGCTATAGATTTTCCTCTAATCATTTCTTCATTTGCATACCCCAAATTTTGATATGTTGCACTTTTATTTTTATTTAGTTAAAAATATTTTCTAATTTCCCTTGAGACTTCTTCTTTGACTCATAGATCATTTTAGAAGTATGTTGTTTAATTTCTAACTATTTGGAGATTTTTCCAGTTATCTTTCTGTTACTGATTTCTAATTTAATTCTATCATTTTCAGAGAACATTCTTCCTATGATTTCAATCCTTTTAAATTTGTTAATGTTTATTTCATGATCCAGAACATAGGCTACCTTTGTGAATGTTCTGTGTGCATTTAAAAAGAATGTGTATTTTGCTGATCCTGGGTAGAGTGTTTTATAGATGTCAACTAGATCCGGTTGGTTGATGACGTTTATTCCTTCTATATTCATAGTTCCCACCTGGAGGCAATTTTGCCTCCCAGTGGACTTTCAGCAATGTCTAGAGAGATTTTTGTTTCAACTGGCTACGGACAGTAGTGGGTAAAATCTGCTGGCCTTCTCCTGCTAAACATCCTATTATGCATAGGGCAAGCCTCTCTCCTCCACCCCCTGCCAACAACAAACAAAATATCAATACAGCAGAGATTGAGAAACCTTATTCTGTGTATTTGCTGATACTGGTGGCCTGAGTGAAAGATCTTTCATTACTACTTCTGTTGCTCTGTAAATATAGTAGCCAAGGCCTGGCTAGTTCCTCTAGGTTGAGAAGGTGCAGTGGGATATAATAAGTCATTCTTAACTCCTGCCTTACTCCCTCATATCCAGCTTATGTTGCTGCTTGGAGCTTAGCAGCTCCACACTAAGGAATTCATGTGATAACTCTAAAGAAATACTAGATTTATGTGGGGGTCTCGGTATGGCAGGTGTCCACGTGTGTTCCTATGGGAAGACATATGTGAAAGTCTAGGACAATGGGGAGATTCATAAAGTCAGGGAATGGCACCCCTAGAGGGGCCTTGGGCATTCTCCAGGCCAACTCTGCAACCCCCATTTTACATCCGGGAAGACTGAGGTCTGGAGAGGGCTTGCACTTTGCTGAAGATCATTTGCTGCTTTATTTCTGCTCATACCCTGTCTAATTTCTCTCCACTATCCTCTTTCTCTCCTTTTAAGCATTCAAGAGCAAAGCTTTATGAATTGGGGGGATTCAGGTACCTTTATGTCATCTCCTAACAAGATATTTTTCTGTTCTTATCAGAGTTTATCTTCTAGCAGTTTCAAGTGACTTCTTCAAACTGATTACCAACCAACCAGACAACATACCCTTACTAAAAAAACATGGCCAAGGGAGGCAAAGGCCCCAAGGGCAAGAAGATCACACTAAATGTAGCCAAGAATTGCATCAAAATCACATTTGATGGGAGAAAACGCCTTGACTTGAGCAAGATGGGAATCACCACCTTTCCCAAGTGTATTCTGCGACTCAGCGATGTGGAAGAGCTTGACCTTAGCAGAAATATGATCAAGAAGATCCCAGACTCGATCTCCAAGTTCCAGAACCTGCGCTGGCTGGACCTGCACAGCAACTACATCGACAGGCTTCCTGAGTCGATCGGCCAAATGAGCACCCTGCTCTACCTCAATGTCTGCAACAACAAGCTGACCAGCAACGGGCTGCCTGTGGAGCTCAACCAGCTCAAGAACATCCGCACTCTGAATCTGGGCTTGAACCACCTGGACAGTGTGCCCACCACACTGGGTGCTCTGAAGGAGCTCCATGAGGTGGGGCTCTTCGACAACCTGCTGAACAGCATCCCCAATAGCATTGGCAAGCTACCCAAGCTGAAAAAGCTCAACACAAAGCGAAATCCCTTTCCCAAGGAAGAAGAGTCTCAGCTCTTCCTAGAGTCCATCAAAAGGCTAGAGAACTTATATCTGGTGGAAGAGAAGGATCTGTGTGGGCCTTGTCTGAGAAAATGCCAACAAGCCCGTGACAAGCTGAACAGAATCAAGAGCGTGGCCATGGCGCCATCAAGAAAGCCTATGTTTTCCAATTTGGTTTCACCCAACTCCATGGCTAAGGAGTCTCAGGAAGACTGGAGGTGACCGGGGGCCCTGACCCTGAGGCAGGAGGGGAGAAGGGAGGGAGGGAGGACAGCAGTGGGCTACATCGACAGGAAATCGAGGGCTCCTCCCATTACTGCTATAGCTTCTTCAGCCAAGCCCATAAAACACCTTTCCCTACCTCTTTTGCTTGTGATTGTGTTGATTGAGGGCTTTTGGTTCCCTGTCACTCTATACGTTTCTCTCTTCTCTGCATGCACACACCTATACATACAGGTACAATGAGTGAGGAAAGGGATTCTCATCTCACTTCTGCACCAGAACTCTCCTGCCTACAGTCCATGGCCCGAGCAGACACAACATTTTGGGAGCAACCACCAGCTCCCAAAAATAGAGCTTATTCTATGGGAATGTTTTGGGTCAGGGCTTCCAAGATCAGAGATCTCAGAGCACAGGTTGGTAGGAGGACAGATAGGCATTTGGTCTTGGACAGGGGGCAAAGCTTGGCCACAGAGATGGGCAGGTATTTTCATTAAATATTGGCAGGTAGCCTCTTTGGCCCAAAGCAATACTCTTTTTTTCTTATCTGTTCTTTCATAAATTGCACTAGGTGCTTTCTAGGCTAAACCTACTAAAGCCTGGCTGTGAATGAAGAAGGTTGCACTCCCATTTTATTGCGTCCAGTGCTTTTCCACACCCTTGTGGGAGTAAGAAAGAATGGGGGCAGGCATGGGTAGGTGCATTCAATAAATAAATACCTTACTAGGTGCAGGAACTGTGTCCAACTGGGGAAATCTTGGCTCGCCTTGTGCAGCATGCAGGTGAGACCAGTTGAAAGAAGATGAGGTAGAACTTCATTGTCTGAGAAACTTATGACATTAGAGCTGCAAGATATGCAGGACTGGCCTGGCATAGAGAAAATCCAAGATCTGGTGTCAGACAGATCTAGGTTCATGACAGCTCGGCCTCTTACTTGTCACCTTGGGCACCTTGCTTAGCTTTGGTTCCCTCATCTGTAAAGTGGGAACAATAGCCATGCCTAACTCCAAGAGTGGTTGAGCCTCTAAAGCAGGTTGCACAGGGTGGGGCACAGAGTAAGCACTCAACAGATGTCAGTTTTCTCCAAGGACTAGAGCTCCATGCATCTTAAAGCTGAAATACCACTTTGGATAGTGTCTCTAGTCACATTAGATCCTTTGGCAGAATTGTCAGTGGTAGAATCAGCCCTCACAATGGCTGGCAATATTCTCTGGACTCACTCTGAACTGCTCACTAACACTTCCATACTGCCTGGGAAGAGGATATAGGAAGAGACCTTTAGGAAGACTTTCGAATTTTATTTCATACTTTATTTTTTAATTTCTAACTTCCCAACTCCCCCTCCCCTCAGCCCTGGTAACTACTAACCTTCTTTTGTCTTGATGCATTTGCCCATTCTAGATATTTTATATACTTGAGATCATACAGTATTTGTCCTTTTGTTTCTGTCATTTCACTAAGCATAATATTTTCAAAGTTCATCCATATGGTGTCATCTATCAGAACTTCATTTCTCTTTATAGCTGAATAATACTGCATTGTATGTACATACCACAGACAATGGTATATGGTATACCATTTGTTTGACTATTCATCTGTTGGTGGACATTTGGGTTGTTTCTACCTTTGCGATATTGTAAATAATGCTACAGTGAACACTGGTGTACATGTGTCTGAGTCACTGCTTTTAACTCTTTGGGTAAACCTAGGAGTGGAACTGGTGGGTCATATGGTAATTCTATGTTTAGCTTTTTAAGGAATCATACATTCTACAGATGATGCATGTATAGTTGCTAGTGTACAGAAACACAACTGGTTTCTTTGTTCTGACTTTGTACTCTGATACTTTGCTGAATTCATTTATCAGCTCTAGTGGCTTTCTTATGGAGTCTTTGGGATTTTCTATATATAGGATCATGTCATCTGTGAATGGTGATAGTTTTAATTCTTCTTTTCTAATTTGGATGCCTTTTTTTTTTTCCCTTGCCTATTTGCTCTTATCAGGACTTCCAGTATAATGCTGAATAGGAGTGGTAAAAGCAGGCATACTTGTCTTGTTCCTGATCTTACATGGAAAGCTTTCAGTCTTTCACCATTGTGTACTTTCATTATGTTGGGTTTTGTCAAATGCCTTTTCTTCATGAATTGAGATGATCATTCCCCACCCACCCCACTTTGTTTCCACATGTGCCAGCGTGGTGTATTACATTGATTTATTGATTCTTATGTTGAACCATCCTTGCATTCCTGGGGTAAATACCACTCAGTCAATATGCTGTTGGACTCAGTTTGCTAGTACTTTGTTGAGGTTTTCTGCATCTCTATTCATAAGGATATTAGTCTGTAGTTTTCCTTCCTTGTGGTATCTTTATCTGACTTTGATATCAGAATAGTGCTGGCCTCATAAAATTAATTAGGAAGTATTCCCTTCTCTATTTTTGGAAGAGTCTGAGAAGAATGGTGCTAATTTTTCTTTAAATGATTTTTAGAATTCCTCAGTGAAGTCATCTACCCCTGGACTTTTCTTTTTCAGGAGGTTTTTGATTACTGTTTCAATTTCTTCATGTGTTATCGGTCTGTTAAAATTTTCTACTTCTTCTTGAGTCAATTTAGACAGTTTCTGCGTTTCTAGAAATTCATCCATTTCATCTAGTTTATCTAGTTTGTTGGCCTACAATTGTTCATAGTATTCTAATAGTTTTTTTTTCTTTTCTGTAAGATTGGTAGTAATGTCACCACTTCATTTCTAGCATCTTCTTTCTTTGTCAGTGTAGTTAGAGATTTGTCAATTATGCTGATCTTTTCAAAGAACCCAACCTCTGGTTTTCTTGATTTCCTCTATGATTTTTCTATTCTCTATTTCATTTATCTCTGCTTTAATTTTTATTACATCCTCCCTCTGGTTGCTTTAGGTTTCATTTGCTCTTCCTTTTCTAGTTTATCAAGATGTAAAGTTAGGTTATTGACTTAGGATCTTTCTTCATTTTTTAATGTAGGCATTCAAAGCTATAAATTTCTGAGTACCGACTTTGCTGCATCCCATAGGTTTTGGTGTGTTGTACTCTCATTTTCATTTCTCTCTAAGGATTTTCTAATTTCAACTGTGATTTCTTCTTTGAACCATTGGTTCTTTAATAATGTGCTGTTTAATTTCCACAGTATTGTGAAATTTTCAGTTTCCTTTCTATTACTGATTTCTAGTTTCATTCCACGATGGCCAGAGAAGATACTCTGTAGGATTTCAATATTTTTCCATTTACTGAGGCTTGTTTTGTGACCAAACATATAGTTTATCTCACAGAATAAGCCCTGTGCACTGGAGAAGAATGTCTATCCTGCTATTGTTGGGTGAAGTGTTCTATAAATACCTGTTAGATCTCGCTGGTTTATAGTATCATTCAGGTACTCTATCTCCTGATCGGTCTTCTTTTTAGATGGTCTACATTATTGAAAGTGGTGTAATGAAATCTCCAACTATTATTGTTGAACTGTCTATTCTTCCCTTTAGTTCTGTCAGTGTTTGCGTCACAGATTTTTGGGACTCTGTTGTTAGATGCATACGTATTTATAACTGTTATTTCTTCTTGATTAATTGACCCTTTTATCAGTATACACTGTCTTTCTTTGTCTCTTACAACAGCTTCACTTGAAGTCTATTTTCTCTGATATTAATATAACCACCTGAGCTTTCTTTTTTTATTTGCATGAAATATTTTTTCCATCCTTTCATGTTCAACCTATTTGTGTCTTTTGATTTAAAATGTGTGTCTCTTGATTTAAAACCAATCTCTTGTAGATAGCATATATTTGAATCATGTTTTCTTATTCATTCTGTCAGTCTGTGCCTTTTAATTGGAGACTTCAATCAATTCACATTTAAAGTAATTACCAATAAAGAATGACTTCTATCATTCTACCATTTGTTTTCTGTGTGTCTTGCACGTTTTTGTGCCTTATTTCTTTGAATACTTACTGTTTGTGTGTTTAGTTGATTTTTTGTAGTGAATAACTTTCATTACCTTCTCATTTCCTTTTGTGTATATTTCTTTAAAAATTTTCTTTGTGGTTACCTGGGGATTATATTTACCATCCTAAATTTCTAATAACATAGCTTAAATTGATACCAACTTTACTTTGATATCATACAAATCTCTGTTCCTATACCATTCCCTTTATGATGTTGATGTCACAAATTACATCTTTATATATTGTGTTCCCAGTATTATTTTATAACTATTATTTTTCCTTTTGTCTTTTAAACCATGTAGAACATAACACAATTACAAGCCAAAAAAAGCAGCAAAACTGACCTTTGCATTTGCTCTTGAAATTATTTTTATCAAAGGTCTTTATTTTTTCGTGCACCTTTGAGTTTATATCTAGTGTCCTCTCCTTTCAAACTGGACAACTATTTAGCATTTCTTTTAGGGAAGTCGGGTCGGGTAGTAACAAATTCTCAGCTATTGTTTACCTGGGAATGTCTTAATTTAATTCTCATTTTTGAAGGATAGTTTTGTTGGGTACAGGATTCTTAAATTACAGAAATTTTTTTTCCTTTCAATACTTTGAAGATATCATCCCACTGCCTTCTGGTCTTCATGGTTTCTGAGGAGAAATTGACACTTGGTCTTATTGGAGCTCCCTATATGTGGTTATTTGCATTTCTCTTACTGCTTTCAAGATTCTCTGTCTTTGGTTTTTAGAAGTTTGACTGTAATGTGTCTCAGTGTGGATCCCCTTGTGTTTATGCTACTCAGAGTTCATTGAGCTTCTTGTATGTGAACATTCATATTCTTCATCAAATTTGGGCAATTTTCAGTCATTAGTTCTTCAAATACTCTTTCTGTCCTTTTCTCTTTCTCCCTTTCTTCTGGAACTCCCATAATCTGTATATTGGTCTGCATAATGATGTTCCCCAAGTCTCTTAGTCTCTTTTTTTCTTAGTTTTCTTTTTTCTTTCTGTTCTTAAGACTGCATCATTTTATCTATCTTCAAGTTCACTG